AAAAAAATCCGAGTTCCAGATGGGATTTAAGCTCACGACCCTCCGTGATCTAGCCGGACGCTCTAACCTTATAATAATCACTTTGAAGGGTAGAAACATTACTCTACTGAAAGTAACCAGAGAGTACCGACACTTCTAGCTACTTTACGCTACAGAGACACAGGAGAGGTTAAAAGCTTGTAGTAGTGGGTCAATGGGGTTGTGAAGACTTGCAGGGAACAAAAAGCATTACTCGCAAAATATTTCAACATTTTTTCTCAAAGATCATGGCTTAAGATTGAAAATTGTCAAGGATGTTTGCACGTGTTACAATCCAAACCCTTTCCCTTGTGACCTCGTGATGTGACTAATGCCTTTTTAAGAACCTTATTATTATTATTATTATTATTGCTATTATTATTATTATTTATTTTTTATTATTATGTTATTTTTATTTTTGTTATTCTCTGGCTAGTGGAACTAAGGCTACGTAGAGGCAGACAAGTAAAGGCAAGAATTTTAAAAGTTGCCTCTCAAGGGTCACAAACACACCAGTAGAAATATGGTTAGCAGAATATTTGTGCAAAAAGTCTTTTGGTACCTAAACGTGGCCAGGTGGCGTGTCAGTCCAACAACCAATCAACGTCGGTATTTACTAAAGCCGGTGACACCTGTTACTATAGTGTTACGCGGGCCAAATAGCAAGAATATCGCATGAACAGCTCATTGAATTCAGTGTTGTGATCAGTGCTTGTGTAAACGCGTGAACTACTCACTGAAAACAAAAAGGAAATGACCTTGTTGAGGTTAACGTTTACGCTTCTGGCCTTTGTACAGGGTGAGTTAGAGGTTTTTTTTTCCGTTAAATCTTCATTATTGTTCTGCCACTGACACGTTTGATCTCATGTTGTTTCTCCGGCAGTAATTTTCGTGGCTGACTGCAACTCTATTCCCAAACACAAATGTACACCGCCTACTTCTTCAGAAAAGCAACAAACCGAGGCATCTCTCAAGCCAGATCACTTTAAACAACTTGGCAAGGTTCAAGACATGAAGGAATGTATCGATAAATGCTGCGATGTGGAACATTGTGATCTTGCCATGATGTCGTACGGCGGACAAAACTGTTACGGTGTAGCTTGTTTCAGTGAAAACCTTTGCCAAATGCTTCCATCATACCCTACGAGAATAAGTTTTGACGTTGCACATGTGTCAAGGTGATAAATGGGAGAAGACTGTTAACGATTGCATGGTTATAGACAATCGTTTCAAGCGAAGACCGCACGCTTTGTCCTCTACGCTTCGGCAACCGGGAGCAGTCAATGAGGCATAAAACATAAAAATCTTAATACAAGGTAAATCAAGGTGTTGGAATATGGTGTAATATAAAAAAAAGAAAACATTGGACACTTTTATATCGTGAAGGTACCTCCTTATTTTATATACAAGACTGATAGGATTTATCAGCTTATTTTTTTAAGGTATAGCCATGTAAAAATGATAAAAAAATTGTTGAATGTAAATAGATTTTGATCTGGGCGATCTTGCTTGCTGCTCAGCTTATCTTTAAGGAATTACCAGCTGACAAATTGTAGACAAAAAGCTTAGATATAGAGACTTGACCAGAACCACGTGCGTAACCAGAAATTAATTAATATCGTAATCGTTCAAGAATCTCAAAACTGTGTGAATAAATTTGACAGAAAATTTCATGCCAGCAGCAAACCGACCATCGAAGGCCTTTATAGTGTGTAGATAGATTCCTACGTTATATTTGACGACAATCCATTCGCATTTGACAAACTTCTGATCACATCTCGTCTAGCATCTGTTTTAAAGCAAATATGTTCTTTAATAATAGCTGTTTGCTCCCCTGTGAAACCAGCTACCGGTAGCTCCACCGTTAACAAATTAGAAGTGTTATACCGTGCAAGTTCTCAGGTTGGTTATACTGGAGGATTAGGGTAAAAATACATCTGCATATGAACGGCTTGGAAGGTTAGAAAGAACACGCTAATGAAAGGCCCACTTCTGACGGCAACAACAGTAACAATTTATTTTTACTTCTGATATTATGTAAAGCTTAAAACATATTTTTAAACAGAAAATTGGTATCATGGCACCCAAACTGGACTCTTTTAATTGAAGCGCCCCCAGTCCTCTATAACAAGACACCTCGTACTCCTTTCGCGCACCGGACCACTGCAGACTAATCAGTAATTTGTTATAAGCAAAATTTGCTGATGCCCAGTCCCTGAGGATTCCCTTACTCGTGCTGTATAGGGGCTCTTCTGGTGGGAGAGAGGCGTACTGAGCATGTTCTGAGCATGTACTCCCACCCGGGTTCAACCCCTATACAGTGCGTGTCGTCTTTTCAATCACGGTAACTCAAGGCATTGTGAAAGGAATAAAAAACGACTGAAAAAATAACCCTGAGACTTGTATTAAGTACAAAATCCAATTTTAATCTCCATATATTGTTTTACAAAACATTATTTATCTTAACAGAAATGTATATATGTATAGGATAAATCAAATATCGGGCACGATAATTGAAATAAATTAAATTTATAAAGACAATAAATGTGATGAAAATGGAAATCACTTTTTCCTTTAGTTTTTAGTCACACCTGTACAATAAAAGCCTATTTTCCAAAAATTTCAGCGAAAAGCGACCTAGCTTTTTGTTTACTAAGGAAAAACTGTACATTGTAAAGGCAGACTTTCTCAGGGCATAAGCATTAGCAGGGACAACACACAAAAACGCAGTAAGGTGCTGATAATAATAAAAAAATCGCTATTGTTAGAAAATTTCCATCCTTTACTTATATCCCTTTCACACCAGCGTGTAAATGTGTAAATGCGGTTTATTTTAAAACGGCTCATACAGAGCATGTTTTACGCAGTAATGTATTTTGCTCGGTTAGTCTTTGTGATGGAACGGCAAGTAATAGCTGGCTATCTTTGGTCAACTTTAAAACCGTCAGTTGGCGTGAAGAAAGTGTCATTTGCATGGTATGAAGTATTGAGGAGCGGTACTGTGAGTTGTTTATCCTCTCGGCTCTCGTGGTGTTTGTTTGGCTAATTATATAATATATAACAATGGTAACAACACGATAATTCTTATGCATGTTGACAACAGACTATGTAGCTAATAGCGAAGCGCGCGAGTGACTTCATAACTCAGACAAACTCAGACAAACAAAACGGAATGGTAGAAAATTTGACGCTTTTTCAAGTGCGTAAGCAAGTGTTCCTAAAACAATTTTTAAAACGAAAATTTGACGTTCTTTTTCTTCCTATTTCTCTCAGAACACGCTTATGTTGTCTGACTCTCGGGGGGTTTCAATAATTTGCATTCTATTTTTAGACTTCGCGCGCTTCGTTATTTCACCACAAAGCCTTTAAAATGCAAACTCAGTGTAAATTTTATCATGAACAAATTCCCATAGCAACAAATAACACGAAAGTGCGAGATGTTTGAGAAAGATTTAACCCTGAGCATGTGACGTAATCATGGATAAGACTTACTTGTATTGCGCAAATCATAGAAAATGTTCAAATGCGCATAACAGTAATTAGATAAAAGATAAAAGACGATAACAATTCACCTTCACTAATCAACAATGTTTGCACAGCGTGAAGATATGCATCAATAAAACGATGAAAAAGTGCCTGTTTTAAAAATAAGTTAACGAGGATATGACCTGCCGCATGCATCTTATGATAAATACTCTGTAAGCGTCCTCCTCAATAGTACTGATTTATGTATTTTTTTTGCAAAATTATTGTCCGACAACAGTTTTTATGCATAGTAAATTTATCAAAAACGAACTTATGAAAAAAAAGCAGCGAAATAAAATAAAATTGCTTCCCAAAAATATGTTAGCGTAACGAACGTTGCATCTCAAATGATTGAATTTCAATCCACTTGTGTGTAAGGTTCCCTGTCCACTGGAACACGTTCAAGTTTCTCTCCAGGTTAGCAGCTTTTCTCCAATATAGCATTTCAGTTTGTGTCCAAACTTCCAACCACTTTGCATTTGGTCTTCTTTGGACAATTCCCTTCGGTGACATTTTCTTTCTTATGATCAATGAAAACCTCAAATGCCAGATTACGGTAAAACGTCAGCACCAGGTTTCTTCGTCATTGTCCATTATTCCATAAATATAATACGGACTTTGTCCTCTGTTAACCGCTTGCGCTACTTCAACATTTATTTGATTGATTATTTCTCTAGTTCTTCGATCATTTAACGTTCTTCCTTGTGACTCGTAAAATTCACTAAGTGGTATCAGCGAGTGTCGAGGACTGCTTTCTGCTGATTTAATCACATCCGGGAAATCAAGAAGCATTAACGATCGATCTCCTGCTAATCTTTGGGCCGGCTCCTCTCCAGGTCCCTGAGCACCAGATGGCTGTGGTGATGTCACTTCTATTTTCACCATGGGTAGAGAGAGTGGGGAGGAAAGTCCGGTGGAAGAACGTGAGCGACTCTCAGAACTTGCTGTCTCCATCTCGTCTTCCAGAGCCTGCAAATGACACAAAGAAGAATTAGCAACTTTTGAAAGATTGTGGCAAAAACAAAGCAAAGCTAACTTGAACAAATTGTTTTGCCACCACATAGGACAATGAGCCAAATAGAATTCTTAGCAAAGCCATGAGACTGCTGCAAAGGGATGGAAACACACTCGAGCGAGCAGGTTTTGATCTTGCGTCTAATTGGTTAATATGAAAACATGTTCTAATTGGCTACGGCACGCTGAACTAGAAAAGGAAAAAAGCTACAGCTCTATCCTACACTCCTGATATGCTATATGTACCTATCGGACCCAGGTTGTACCGGTGGCATAGTTGATTTTGTTCACAATACTTCTTCGGATAGCGATTTATCAGGAACTCAGGACCTCAGGACCTCAGAGGTGCATTATGGTGCTTTTCAGTGACAGACATTTCTACGTGAATCCAACACTGATCCAAAATTGATGCAACATTGGCACAACATTGGTGAAAGTCGGTTTTGATTTAACAGTTCTAGACCTGATTTCAAAATTGGTTCGATAACTACAAATGGGGTTGGATGGTGTGATTCTACTTAATAGAGGAAATGCTATCCGACCAGCACTTCAAACGATAACTCATCAACTAACTTTTCTCTTATTGATTGGTCGATCGGAAGAAAATTATTACCATAGGTTTGATAATTAACGTATTTCTTAGATCAGTCTGATTTAATCTTCATGATTTATAACTGGCGTAATGCAGCCTTCTTCAAACGTACGTTCTGCACCATGACGGCTGCTGAATAAGACCTGTTGTTGGAGCGAGTTCTTGCTCCAGATATAATATGCTCTATACCACTCTTATTTGATAGTTTGCCCATAATGTTTCCTTCATTACTGTGACAATGGTTATTATAATGGTTTGGTTTAATCCTTAAGTTGAAATTATTATACTGGGTGTGTTTTGCCGTGGATGTTAGTGTGGTACCGACTGTTAACAAGTTATCCTCTCAAAAATGTTTGAAGATGTTACTGATCTTACAGACTTCACATGATCGATCGGTCATTAAGATATTGTCACTGAAAACTGACTAGCAGGTGAAATAAATGTCAGTATTAGTTCAAGCGACTAACCGTAGGGAAGCATGCACTCCATTTCAATCGTCTCTCCTTTTGGCTGAAAAGTATGGTTCAAATGAGAAAAGAAAATTCTTTGTTATTGTAATTCTGTGCCTGCTCTTCACTCCTATAGCTATATTTGCATTTTTTATAATTCAAATTCACTGTGCGTGTTTTGCTCTATTAAACTCGAGGAGTGTAAGATTTATCCAAACATTATTTTCACCCGAGTTTAGTTTAGGTCGTTGACGTTCATTTTCTGAAGAAAGGGAAATGCAGAATGGCGTTAAATGTTAATTAGCAGTTAGGATGTGGCGGCAGAAAATAGCCCTTAATGTAGGTTTTATTATACCCTTAAAATTATTATCCGTTATATTATCAGTGCCTTAAACTTACTCATTATTTTAAATTGAAACAAGATTAAAAGTAGATCAAGGATAATAAGTAGAAGGCATAACAAGTTCATTATCTGGCGCTTAATAACCAAGTGAAGCGGAATATGTAGTGAGAATTCCGGTTTTACAGAAGCTACAAGTAATAGCATTATCAGGTCATCTAAATTGGAATTTTGGTTCTGTCTTGTGTATACAAAGAGACAGAAAAGTGAAAATCTAGTCAGTGATCAGTGACGTCGGTGTTTTGCAAAGCTTAGCCTGCAGAACAGGCCAATTAGCGGGACAGAGAGCGAAAGGCTAGAGCGAAATCCGCCTGTTCTGCAGGCTATGCAAAGCTCTCCCAAAAAACCGGCGATAATTAAGAAGCTCTCAGGGCTTGAACACATCGTAGTGCATTTCAGTCCTGGCCATCTTCATCTATCATCCTTACTTCCTGATTGATCTGTCCCTGTCATTGTTTCAGTGCCTTGTCTAAATAACACCACTTACACCGAGTTTCCTATGATAGCAGAAATTATTCCGAAAATGACAGGGTCCTCTTAAATATCGAAGCTGAGGGGTTTAACAGTGAAGCCACCTTACCACTGGGTTCTTAAAGCTGAGTTTGGATGGTTTCCTTTTCAGTTTAGGGCATGCGCCGTCAACTTGGTCCTCGTCTTCCGTGTCAGTGCTGATAATAGTTGGGTTGATGTCGGTGAGATCCATCGGAGCATCCTGTAACATAAAGAAGATAACAAACAAATCCCTTATTAGTTATTTGATCAATGATGCCTTGACACACAGCAGTTACATTCTAATTGGTACCTTGAAGTGAACAGACTTGTTGATTCCTCTAAAGTCTTCATCTTCACTGTAACTGTCTGATCGTCCAAATGGCCTTCTACTGAAGAACTTTAATGAGCGATGCATCCGGCGCTTGGAATTTAACACTTCTTCTTTTTCTTTGCTCCTGTATAATTGGCAAGAGACATAAACCACGTTCAGATCATGTACGAATATATCTTGTGAATTAGTAAGTTGAATCACTTTGAAATTGACTGAAATAAATGTCGAAAATAAAAACATGTTCTTGTCAGGAATTGAAATATTTTTTTGTTGTCTCACTCTTGCGACGAACGTGCTGAACATTCATTTGATCTTTCACTCGGATTTGGTTTTTCTTCAACAGAAAGCGACCGTAATTTCCTTATTTTTGTACTGATATTTATCATGTAATAGGCAATTGGGGATCTTTCTTGATCCAGAGAGGCGTAAACTTGTTTCTGCTCGCCTCAGTTAAATGTATCAAGATAAATACTGCCACGCATCTTAGCTGCTAAAAACATACAGTAAGCACCAAAAACAGAGAAACGTTTCCTTGACCTCAGGGTGGAAGAAATTGAGCATTTCGAACCTTCGCAATCTTCAATTAAACAATAACATGACTCACATTGTCGGAAGAGCTGTTAATGTCTTTGATCGTCTTCTTGTTGTCGTCAAGTAATCCGAAGGAGTATCGATTTCTCCCTCTTCGTCATCAGAGTTAGAGTTACCACTTCGAAGGGCTCCGACAAGCCGACGAAACAATGAAGGCCTCTGAAAAGACACATAACAGTTAGAAAACTGATCTACAGCACATGAACTTAAGAGTAGAGAATGACAGTGTTTGTTATTATGAAACAGGCCAATTAGCAGCGTGATAAATTTTAGAAATGTTGACTTACAATTTGTTATATATTGCACATGATTGGCTGAGAACTGGTAACAGATACGAATACCTCATTCAAAATAAACATAAAAAAAAAACAAAAAACAGTTTTCTTGATTTGCAATTTCATTGAGTTACCAGAACTCGAATGTCAGTTGACTTAGAAAATGTGAGTAGATCTGTAATCGATACAATTCGCACAACTTTAAAAGGCTTAACCTTCTTACTTTTTTCTTTTTCTCAAGGCGCTTCTTCTTCATGTGTTTGTAGTTTTCGTAAATCAGTTTCGCGCAGTAGATCTTACCAATGGTCATCTGCTGAGAACTCAAAACTGCAATGAAACAAAATGCCGCAAAATACGTCAAGTGGTGTAATACTTTAACAGTCTAGGACATGGGAAGATGTGGCTTTGTTTTATGTCCACCAATTGAATAAGCAAGCAGGTGTGGTTAGAGACGTTGCTAAGCGACATGATGCTTTTGACATTATGCTAACTCGAGAACATTCAGTGAATGAGAGAATGTGGGTGCCATTTGACCAAACCTGTGAGATTAGATCAAGGAAAATTTCTTCACTAAAAGCCATGTCTTCTGATGCACCACTTCCTAAGTTAAGATGAGGTCGCTGTACTTCAGCTATATAATGTTGCACACAAGTTAACTTACTTTAATGAATCATAATACGTTATGGGTACATCGCGTATCTAATTTTTGTCTCAGGCCCGTTGACCACAAAATGTATTCGACACGCTCCAACTAAAACAAACATAATATGTAGATTTAGCCAAGCCTAATATCGGAGCTCCTGGGCCGGGTTGTTCAAAGCCTGATTAAGCTAACGCAGGATAAGCGAGAAATTTTGATTTGAGTTTTGTAACTTTACGGTGAGGTTTTCTGTTTATGTTGTTTGGCCTTCAGTTTTGAGTTTGAATAATCTCAAGGTCCCCAAAATAAACAAAACAAAAGCAGTTAATAGCATTTGTAAACAAGAAAAATTTTGTACTTCGGTTGACTTTTGTAATCCTGGGTTAGCGTTAACCGGCTTCCGAACAATCCGTTCCTGTTTACAATAAGTTAACCTGACATCAGACCGCGATTCAATCGAAAACCAGCACTTGGTCAGCGGTCAACTTAAAAAAGACACGTGACCTCTATGAGCTCTAAACTTGAGCTCGCGATATGGTCACCTGATACTGGTCAGTGGATACCTTGTTTTGATAGGTGTCAATTGACCATAACATGGATGTCCAATATCAAAGAAGGACGTTATAAACCAAGGGTGCATGTCTCTGTAAACCTATTATCTAGAGTATGGCCGCCATCTTGCGCGACTCCGTCGCCGTCGTCGTCGTGCCTACACGCCTATGAGCAATACCGCTAGCCATGATAACATTCGTGGGTTTCTTTTTCATTCCTATATCGGTATGGGGCTCCGCTTAGCGACCCTGCGGGCCGCCGGAGCTCCGCTATCATCATGTTGACCAGTCAAGAGCAAAATAAAAACTAAATACACCGTGACTTGATCAGTTGTTACCACCCATGATTTGTTATCGAAGTAATTTCCTTTTGAGTTAGAAGATTTTATATTCCCGTAGCATGCTGCCGAGGCATCCGTTTGTCATCAAAATATAAACATTAATCAAAGCGGTTTCTAGTTAACGTACTATTCTTACCTGACTGAAGAGGAATCATCTTTTCCAGTATCTTCTTGGACGTTTTTGGCCACAATATTTTTATCGTTCTTCTAAGTTCACTGTCGGCGTATGCTGGGTCTCCTGTGCTAAATATCCCAAGCGCTGTTCTGATGAGCGCAAACAAGGTGGATGTGAATAAGACCGTGTTGTCGCCCATGATTGGCATGTTCATCTTTATCAGACGCTTCCAAGAAAACAAATACGGAAAATTGTTACACGACAATCTACTGCAAATTTTGGGAGATTTTTGAGGGGTGAACTGAGAAAAGTGAACAACAACAACAGCTAAAAGACAAGAAAAGCAAAGCTGCTAAATATTGGTGTGAAACACTGACATAACATTTCAACAATTTGCAACAGCCGTTGGAATGATGAAGTCGTGTAAAAAAATAGATAAGATCCAACAAAACAAGGAACGAACGAATATACGACAAAAACATCAATAAGTAGAAACAGTGCAGTTGCGACAGCGGGTCTGCTCCGAGTTTTATTTTCAACGCAACTTCTTGAAACACAGAGAAACACTTTCTAGCGTGAAATCAGTAAATATTAAGTAAATGAGTAACACAAGGAATGACTGTCTAAATTAGAGAATAATAACGGGAACAGACATGGTCGTTTGTGATGTCTCAATGGTGAGGTACATGTTCTGAGAATAGAAATAATTCCTTGATATCATTTCGCGTGCACTCTTTTATAGTTTTTCTTTCTTCAGAGCGCTCAATATAATTATAGAACCATTTCGAATGCAATTTACACCACAAAAAATAAAATGAGAGAGCAAAATCTAACATCGTAACCTTTACACTTAGCAAATCACGTGTACCTTATAGGCGATAAACTTTGGGCATTTTCTTCCAAACCCCACCGGGGGAGACATGTCACACATCAAGCGGTACACCTCTGTGTGTGGAATCCGTCCTCTGAAGAAACAAAAATAAATGGTACGCAATGAATGCTCTGGATGACGCTTAGGAATGTCCTAAATATCAGCTGTCCGCGAAATTGAAAAGTAACTAAAGTCCAAACAACCCTTGGGTTGTTAGATATTTTGGAACTTCGGATAGGCTCTGCTCTGAAATGGTGGGAGTCGTTTTTGTTCACTGAAAAACAGTGGCAAACTTTCAACCTTCAATCTTGGCTGTGGATTTCCCTGGGGTAGCTGCATGGGTCTTATCCGTTCATTCTCTAAATACTTAGCAACTGAGTCCATAGCTAAGTCGTGTTTCTTGTTAATTACATAGAGTTCTACCAAGAAATCATTGGTGTTCTTACGTGGCACCTGGGTCATATTCGGACCAGACTCTCACAAACTCGTCCAGGTGATGAGGGCCTAGAATGGACTCGTCACGAGTCAAATACTCGAAGTTGTCCATAATAACAGCAACAAAGAGATTTAGCATCTGAAATAAACAAAGAAACAACCTTGATGTAACAGCAAGCCGCGAAAACACAAACAAACAAGCAAACAAACAAACAAACAAAATAAAAGAAAACGCAGATCAGCTTTCAGAATACACGTATTCTACGGCCGGCTTTAAGCTTTAAGGTTAGGGCTACTTTCGCGGTTACGTTAAGACTGGAAGGAAGCAAGCCTTAAGTTGTCCACAACTAACATTTATCAAAGAATCAAAGAAATTTGTTTTTTGCGCAAAAAGTTATATACCAATAAGCCAGATGAAACTGTTGTAACCATCAAGTTCTGTTATATCAGACGGTCAAGTCACTTGTCAGAAAGTACAATAAAGCTTCCAGAAAAATATAACGCAAACCAGGCGGATAGTTTGCTGTTTACTGACGGGATTTAACGCCCTGTTTCCAATAAAGGTTCCCGTACTCTGAATGTTGTTTTGACAATAAGCATCACTATTCCCTCCTATTCCTATTTCAGTTACAACACCATGAGAGTGCAATCATTAACACGAAGCTTCTTGTGAAAGAACAATTCCTTTAAACGAAAGATCTCTCTTTTTTCACACTTAATGTCAGAAAACGAAGTAAGCGCTCAGTCCTCAGCAAGCGTCATGACACTATTCAATCTCCACACGGCTAAGCTGCAGTGTGCGCTTGACGCACACGAAGTGTTCTTTAGCGCTCCTCTTACACTTACCAAGAACGTGCAAAAAAAGTAAAAAGTACAGAAATAGATAATGGAAGCGACAGTGCTGCCACAACTTCTGTTTTCATCAGAATCACACTTGGCATCGTCAAAACAGTCCAGCATTATTTTATGCCAGTTCTCGCCTGTGGATGCTCTGCAACAGCAATGACACAAGTCAAGGATTGATTTCAAGAGTGCATTTTTAATAACATTTTAATGCAATTGTACGAGTTGTCAGTCCAAATTAATCGTAGTGAGAGAACTATGCTATTAGTATCACACAACCTATTTTTGTCGAAATGCTACGGTACTAAGAGATACTCAAATATTAGACTGAATCAGTGATTTGTTTTGACAGGAATCTTACTCAGATCTCTTATTCACTGTAACAGAGAAGTATTTACCTGAACAGGACTTGAAGTGCCATGAAGAAGTTCCGGAAATTGTTATGATGGTTTATTTGCTTGCTCCAGTCCTCACTCGGGCGAATCCTGCCAAACAACTAAAACGGCAATGTGCTGATAAGGATAAACGTGATTTGCTGTTACATTGTGCGATCATAATGATGACGATGATAGCTTCGATGACGTTGATAATGATCATGACGGAAGTGTTTTGCTAGTGATCGAATAAACGCTGAAAAATCGCCTACCTAAGTTGCCGACTCGTGTGTTGTCCAGGAAAAAGGCCCAAACATCAAAGACGAAAAGATTGCTTCCAATTTATAAAGCGTCCTTTTTGTCTCACGTTTATTCGCTTAATGGCCTACAAGGAAATCCTAGGTATTGTTGAGGTATTGAAAAATAGGTCGATAACGTCCACTCTGTTCATTACGTTATTGTTGTCAAACTTTTGAGAAGTACAATATCTTACCTGCATTCCGATGACAGCGTAGACGAAAAACAACATACCAAGTAAAATGACCACATAAGGCAGCGCCTGTTGACGGGGGATTGACAGAAGTTCAGTTTGATTAATCTGATACTGATTTTTCACATTTCCACACACAATTCCACATTTATTTATTTCTTTATTCCTCCAATTCCTAGCTAATACATAGATA